AAAGTTGCGTTGATAAACACAAAAATAGTAAACATAATTTTTTTGGTTATGTAATGTCTGGGGCCAATAGCAAAGCTATGACAAGAGGAAGGAGGGAGGCATTGAAAAGAGGTCTGAGGCCAATGTAAGTTCATGTAAGGAGGAAGGGGGTAAGAAGAGAAGGATGTGAAATCAAGCATGTAGATTATAACCTTTAGAAAAATGAAAGTCTGAAATTGTGGGAAGCAAGAAGAGAGAAAAGCATTTCAAAGGTTACAAACTGTGAGAAGAAAAAAGGGCTTCGTAGAGCAAGCTAGCGTATTGTACTGTGACCAAGCAAACTTGACCGAATCAAACCCTGCGTAGAATTAGAATACACAGGACTGTAATATATGCAAACGAGACGCATCTGAAGGAAGAGTTGCATTTGCAAACATATCATTACCAGTGAAGGCAGAATGGGATATCTATTTAATATCTATGAGATATCTAATATAATACTTTATGCACATGATCAGAAAATATGAAACTAGGGCAATGGGAATCTGAAAGACAGGTAAGCCTAAAGAAAAATTATTCGTACGAAATTTAGGGTATGGTTGCATTTTGAGCAAGTTAATTTATTTTTTGAATCAAAATACATAACCCAACAGAGCATGTGACATCTATGATTGCCATCAGCTTTTTAACTAAGAGTACAACAGCAAAAAGACCCCTCTGCGATAGAAGTTGTTGCAAGGAAGTCTATGGATCAGGAAAACTCAACTGCTTTTACGTCGGCATTGTAGCACCTCGATAAAGATTTCAAGGTTTAAAGCAGATAAAGCTCACAAATATAAGCGACGAAAAAAACAAGGAACAGACAATGTTTAAGGTAGGTGTAGCCTCGATATGAAAGAACAGAGCATGACATATTTGACATATCTTGTGTAATTGATCTAAAACAAGGATATAGTAAAAATCTATGAAATCTAGAGACTTTTAAACCTAAAACATACCATTGGTGGAGGAAGTCTGTAGCCAGAAGCAAGACGTTCAAGCACCTAAAAAAGAACCAAGGCTCAAGTTGATTCCTACGCGTCACAGCTCAGGAGAGAATGCACCAACAGTCACAAAACAGTTGAAGAAGATGAAGCCCCGTATGTAAGAGACAAATATTCTCCCTTCTTAGGCGTTGTTTCTTAAAGTATCCTGTGTAACTATATGTTTGTCCCCAACAGATTGATTTACGTCTGTTTACTCTGATTTACGTCTGCTAAAATTCCGTAGAGAATTCGACAAACTTTTCGTACTTGTCCTCTCCTTATTTGTAATCACAAAAGTTCATTTTATTATCTTTTTTTTTCCACGAACATAACGTGAAACTTTTTAAAAAATCTCCTCTGCTTGATTCTTTTAAAAGAAGTACACAAGATGGTTGCCAAAACTTTTGAACATTGGAAAACAATGTCCTACTAAATATTCTCATGTATTCAACCTTGCAACAATATAAGGCCCAGATCATGTTTCAAGGAATAGTCGACGCCGCAGGTAAGTCAAGATGACTCTAAATCTTCTAGAATTAGCATATTTTAAGTTTTGATAAGCAAGGTAATGGATGTGAATTTCAAAAACAGACAGAAACAATACCCCTCCATACCCCCTCCCCCCCCCCATTTAGAAAATAAATCTATAGATCTCAATCCCGAGATAGCTTCTTGATCAAATAAAAAGGGTTAAGCAATCATTTTCTGAATAACGAGTTAACGAAATAGCCCTGACTTTTTCTTCAGGTGTAGAGTATTGATTTGAAATCGCAATATATCAACTTTTGTTAAAACCATTGCCCAGGCGGAAGATAGGTAGAAAGGAAGTAAAAACCATTTTCCTGTTGGTGAATAGGTATGTTAAAAAGATACGTGAATATACCTCATAATTGCCCCAGTCCCAATATGGCCTTTCTCCGTATGACATTATCTCCCAAAGCAGGATACCATAACTCCAAACATCCGAGGCAATGGTGAATTTCTTAAACTGGATTGCTTCCGGTGCTGTCCATCGAACAGGGATCTTGCCACCCTGTAAAAAATTAAGTTAAAATATATCATAAAGGATCTCGCCTACCAGCTTCGAACTATAGTGAAATATTTTTTAGACAGAAAAGGTTTAGAATGAATGGTAGCAGAGTAGATTAAGTTGCAACAATGAGTCACATGGTTAATGGAACCTGACAACAACAACCAGGCATAGATGTCGCCAACTATCAATGGCCAATTGCTTAGAGGTAAAATTTCTACGTGTCCTCTTACTGGCCAACATATTACGTCAAATTTCACATTTAGAAGCATCCTGAAGAATTTCCATTGTATTATATGTCTGCCACAAAAGTTAAATAGTGATTGATAAGAGAGAGAAAACTTTTCTTCAATAAATTTATGCTCAGAAACATACTTTGAGTTTGATATGTCATAAATCTCAATACATGTACGAGATTAAAATATACATTGACCCACAAATGATTGCCCTTCTACAGTATGACATCTTTTGAAGAAGCAGCAAATATGATAAGGTGATCTGATATGAATTTAGTGTGATTCAAAGACATTTGTATGTCATCTGTTAATAGGATAAAAATCATCTTGATTTTTAGGGTTAATGAAGCATTCAATTACCGTTGTGTTATATGTATCTTCCTCGCTCAATTCTCTGCTCATTCCAAAATCAGCAACCTTGCAAACCATGTCATCATTTACTAAAATATTTCTGGCTGCCAAATCCTGAAATAATAACATTAAGACTCAGTCAAATTAAGACTTAATCTAACAGATCAAAATAATTCTAACAGGGCAATACTTAAGGGCTACCATTATGCTCTCACTGTCCAAATTTAAAAAATGCCATTGTTGAAAAAGAAATTTTTTCCAGATGAATACATGATAAAATTAAACGCAGCTGTATTTGCTATTCCATTGCAATTGCTAAAATTATTTCATATTTGCCAGTAATCAAATCTAAATAGTCTACTGGTATTTTTTTGGAAAAAGAATCAATCTGAACTATTTACATGCATTCAAGAGCGCATTCCAGTCATCTCTAAACGCTCTAGGCTCAATCTCAGCCTTAGGCAAACAACATACACACAATGAAAAATTGAGCTAAAGCAAAACATTTATTAAGTCCTGCTATGACAAATAACAGCGGATAACCCTGCTAAATAAACTCAGGGGAAATGAAATGGCTGAAGATCGCAGTCTATTAACCAGCTGTGGGCAAAATTACTATGAACATAACCATCCCATACTACAAAATTTATTTCTGTAACAATACACGTGAGAAAATTTTAAAAGGCAGTACACGGTTATCGTGCACGACGCTTTCGATTGAAGTTACCCTGTGGATGTAGCTAACACCTACCCTGTGGATGTAGCTCATTTCAGAAAGATACTTCATTCCAGACGCCACACCCCGGGCCATTCCTAGCAACTGGAGTGGAGTAAATTTTCCATCGTTTTCCTGCGGAAATATAGAATGTTCTGTTACATTTCGTCAGAATGGGGACTCAGTTAGCCACAAAGACATAGAGTAGTGGAAGATAGAACGAACATATTTGATACAAAGTTAAAATTGACTAACATTTCGACCCGGCATGCAATGCTTCTTCAGATGCCTAAATCTTCGCTATGCATGTATTCTTAGAAAAATGTAAGATAAATAAAAAGGAAGCGATGATAGATATTGGTGAATGGTTGTTTGTCAATAATTGACATTTCAATCTACAAATTAGTTTAACTACATACTCAATAACTAGTTTTTGCAACAATTTGAAGAAGTAAATTGAAATTTAGCATACTTGTAGAAAGGAGTCAAGCGATCCATTGCTCATGAATTCGATGACAATCAATATGGGACGGTCTAGAAAGAAGAGAGAAAAATTTGTAAGCATTGGCAGACAAACAGGGAGACGACGTAATATATGTGTTCCGGAACGACAGGAAAAATTGGCAAGATAGATTTCAAAGAGTACACAAGCTAGAAATCGGTTTGCATGCTCACAAACAAAGCAATCTGCAAATCTATCAAAAAACCTGCAAAAGATATGTCTTCAAAGCAAATAAATTTATATACCTTTAACGACCACACCCTCGAGATTTATGACATTTGGGTCATCAAATTGTCCCATATACATTGCTTCTCCCAAAAAGTCATCTCTTGCTTTCTTATTTGCATTTGACTACAAAAAAAGGAGAAAACAATTTCGTAAGTTTTTGCTAATAAAAACACCCAGAAAGACAGCTGCTTTTTCTAAAAAAATTGACCTATAAATTTTCTTACACATTCGGGAGGGTTTTCTTTGAGGATGGAGGTTAATTTGCGGCGTTTACAGAACTGTCTGGGGGTAAAAACACTGTGACAATTCGCTCTGCTTCGTTCATATTTCGCGTTTTTTTTCCATTGCCCATAAAAAATAATTTTTTTCAGCTTTTAAAAATAATTTTCACAGTAAAGTTTCCCAGAACAAAATATTATAACTTGCTTGGTTGTTTATTTTGTCAGTTTTCTGACGCTATTACTTCATTTTCCCGCCACAAATTGATTATTATTTTTTTCTTAACTGTCGTAAGTAAGGGTTAGGCCACCAATTTTACCCAACAACTCGAATACTTTGGAAAGGGGAGTGTAAGAGTATTTAGAACCTACATTGAAAATGATTTGATGTCCTACTTGTTTGTCCTACTTGTCTACGAAAGATCACAAACTTATACCTTGAGTGTCTTGACGGCGACAATTTGTGCTTTTTCAGAGGGTTTTTCCATAGTTCCTTTGTACACATCACCAAATTCACCTAAGAAAAATATTTAATTGCAGAATATTCATAAAATTCGACAATTCTTTTTTGATTCTCATTCCATTATACAGCAACGGAAATTAGCCTACAAACCAAGAAAATGGCTTGCCAGGGCCTGACATCTAGTTTCAGGCATAAAACCTTACGAAAATCTAATATTTAAAACAAAAAATTCATTACAGCTTACCGAAGACGTTTTTTAACTTAGTCCCATAAAAGCATTATATGTTTGAAAAACTAGAAGATTTAGTCAGAACACAAAGCGGAAAACTCTTACAAGTGTCTAAAGGATGAGCCCCCATTTCCTTAAAGTTGAGCAGCACTGGTATCTTCAACAGAAGACGGTGTCATCTCATATGAAAAATAACAGTGGGAAATTATTTGTGATGAATCAAAGAAAAGGAAGATATCAGCAGTAATTTGGGTTGATAACAGACCGAATTGCAGAATAGGCTTGCACCTATGGCACTTGTCTTTCACCTGAACGGGTTTTGTTTGAATTGTTAAAAAATTCGAAATTTAAACGCTAAACCATTGAGGTGCTTAATCATTGAGACACAAACAAACCGTAGTTAGATTCGCGAATGCAAATATAAGTTGTAAGAATCTGCCACCAAGATAAAACGTTTAAAGACTTTGAAACTATCAGAAGAACCATGCTCTTAACCTAACTTTAAACCAACTCACCTCCACCAATCAGACGATCTAGCTTGATCCAGCTTCGGTCTAATTCGTTAGCAAACTGCTGCACAGCGTCCTCCAAATCTTGATATGTCGTCGGATCAATATAAACCTGAACGCCTTTTCCACTTGGGAGAATCACTAAACAATGTAAGAGAGACTTGGAGCCAGGTCGAACTTTGCATAATTTAAACACAATATTTATGAAAGATATTTTTCTCCAAAAAAGCACAATAATTGAAATCGTAATTGGCTGAAAACAGCAGTCAAAATGTAAACATTGAGAGAAACATTTATGGGAAGTAACAACTGTTATGGAAGTATAATACCAACATTGATCGAAAATGAATCAACAAATTCGCCATATACGGAAAGAACAACTGGGTATAGTGAAAATTTCTAAGAAATTTTTAACAGCGAATGTGTACGAACCTTCCCCGTTTTCAAGTCGAACAGGTTGAAGATGCTTTGGATGTCGCCTTGATAAGCAGAAAAAAATAAGACTGTTTATTGACAAAGATACAAAATATTATTGAATAATAAAAATGACAGCTAATAATCAGGGACCTGAATTGACGGATATTTTAGGGGGAGGGGGGGGGGTAAAAGGTGCTAGATTTCTGACTGACAACAAGCCAATCATAATTTCACTCTTAAGTTGCACTTACCTTACAGACCCTTAATACTATACGGTTTTGTTATTATCTTTCTGAATTGAGAAAACTTCTTTTGGCTATAACGAAATGCAAATTATTCTTCGACCGAAATAAGCAATTTCAGTACGACTTAGAATTTTTTTCTCTGGTGCGACACCCCCATACCCTCGAGCATCTACGTGCGGGCGAGAGTGGCGCATATGGAATAACTTCAGAGAATAACCTCAGAGAACCCGATTTTTGCAAAATAATATTTGAAAAAATGGAACAAAAGGTGCTAAAAAAAGAAGCAATTATGGTAATTGCATGATTGTTTTGAACCGTTTTTTTGCGGTACAGAATTTGAAAATGGCTTTGAAAAAAGCAAATATTTTACGACACACTGAAAGCTTTTTCGTCTGATCTTGTTTTAACAGTGTTTCTAGACCTACAAGATCGAGGAGGCTGTTCTCTTTGAGGGGCAGTTTTGTTGATGGTTTTGGTAAAGCTGAGCCATTATAACGAGAACGGGAATGAAAATTGTTTTGAAAATATTAAAGCTAACATAAGACGTACCTTCGGTAGAAATATACAACGAAAGCGCCAGCAATCAAGAGTAAGACAAACAATGTGACTACCACAGCAATGACCAAAGTCAGTGAAATACCTGTAAATAGAATTCCATATATTATTCATACGTCACTCAAGGTGACTATAGGGAGCATTCTATTCAACAGAACTGACTTGCTCAATGGCCAATATGATAAGAAGATATCAGCGAAAATTAAAAGTAAAAAACAATACAAAGAGCATTGTACTAGGCTGACAATTAGGTATTACTTGCTGGATGGCTTATATGTAAAATGACTAGAATATATCAGCAGATGTCTCGAAGATTCAAAGCAAGTAAAGTACCAAGAAGACTGTGCTAGAATAGCAATAAGCTGGACATATCACCACCACCTTGGTTAACAATAAGGTATGGTTTAGGTTTAGGATTCATATGCAACGGTAATATGATACGAAAAACTAAAGAACCTGCGAAGAAACATGAAATATAACTCGTTAATGATAACAATTTTGATTTCCACTGGCTAATACTTTCCTTTTCCTTTGATTTCAAATCTGATAACTTCTTCTTTGGAAAATCCAGCGCTCGTGTGTGACTTTACCTAATTTGATAGTAAAAAATTATTTCTACGTTCTACACGAGTGCATCTGCATAAAGTTAACATTCTCAGTCTTGGTAGGGCAAATATATGACTTAAAGACTCTTTTTTTTAAATTCAAGACATTCACTAGGTTTCAAAGCCTCATTATCAAATAGTTGTAAATAAAAGAAGCATAAGTAAGTAAACACACATTCTCTCGAAGTGACAGGCCTTTCGCTAGCTATTGTGCTCAAGGGGGGTTTCCAAGTCCCATTTGCCGAAAAAGTTAGTGAGCCATCCTGTGTTTGCCGACAAGATTGGAAATTTGCCGACTAAGCACCCCTAGATGACAAGCAACTCCTCGTTTGTCCACTGGAACCATTTCTCAAGGGGAGTGTCACGCCCGATGCCCCCCCCCCTCCCCCCAATAGCAAAGTCACAAGCAGTTAGGATTTCTTTTTGTAGCAGAGTCCTGGAAAGAGTTTGTGCTTTCACAGGGCTTCGAACCAAATATTTCAAAATCTCTTTCGAAAAAAGTTAAAATGTTTGTATGGGAGTTTTACCTAAAATCATTCTTCATGTAGGTTGAGAGACTTCTGTTTCTGGAAATTTGTATGAAATTAGGGAATCAAAACTCATACTTACAGACACAGTGTACTTCTTCGTTTCTTGCTCTTGTTTAACAGTGTATTTCAGCTTGGTGGTAAACATTCCCTTTTCGCCATTAACAGTGATAAAATATCGCAGATCATCACCACCCTTGGTCAATGGCTCGTTCCAGAAAATTGTCACTGATGCATCAGAGTTTGTCCTTTTAGTAAGATTCTGAACCTCCGAAGGCACTGAAAATGAGATATGCTACATAAACAAACAAAATATCTGTTAGGATATTTACCCTAAGTAAACGAATGTGAAATCAACTCAAAAAAAGATTTGCTAAATAGCTCAACTTTCTCATTTAGGCTTCTATCTCAATACACGGACATTGCTACCATTGAACAATTTTTGGAATTTTTTAGAGTAAAAAATGTGTATGCGATGTGTCGGGACAGAGTCTTGCAAACAGGAAAAACAGAATGTTTTCAATCACATGCTGTCCCTTAAATTATCATTGAGCAAACAGTGTAACTCAAGACAAACGTTCACTCACATCCTGATCCAGTCAAAACTGAAGTGCTGTTGTACATAGCCTTGTCGAAGCCGATGGCAGCAGTGACATTGTTGATAGAATAGACTCTGACGTCATATCGGGTGTAGGCGCTCAGCCCGGTGACATTGAAAAAAAGGTTAGATGTTGTAAAGTCAGGTGGAATTTTACATTTAGTACAGCTTGCTTTTATCGTGTAACTCGGTTTGTCTCCAGTCCCCTGGTCCATGGGGACCGTCCATTCTAATAAGATCCACTTTGATCCAATCTGTGTGGCCTTAACGTTATTTGGAGCCGATGATGGTGCTGTTGAAAATAATATTGATTTACAATTTGTAAGATTAAAAATGATAAGAATAAATTGAGAATCAAAAATAGACAAAAAGCCAAAAAGACAAGAATATATGGCACCTAGCTCGTAGCAAAGTCAGAGGGCAAAAAAATAGAAAAGTAGTGAAAAGAGAAATTTTAATTAGAAAGCATTAGAAAGCAATAATATAAAAAGGACCAGAGCCGAAAATGAAAAGTTTTGCATAATTCGTGTATATAGGGAAAAGGATTTTATTAGGGCGGAAAATTTGTTTATAAAATCAAAGAGTGAGAATATTTAACGGAAAGTTTAAAAGCTTTTTAGTGCCATTGATATATAACTGATATTTCGCCCCTTTGTGCATCCACAGAGCTGCTAAATTAAGAAATAAATTGAATATTTATAATGGTATGATGTGATTGAGAAGGTTTGAGATCAATCGTGAGTGAAACAATTGGCTTAAATGACCTTCAGTTTCAACGTATTTATGGGTTCGTAAATCTTTTCATTCTCTTGCGTAAGAAATCAATAATCTTTTTCAACTAAGCTCACCTTCACAGTCAACAGTTGGAACACTTTTAGATCGAAGTGGCCTGTAATATCCATTGTTGCATTTACAAGGTGTTGTCCTGGGCTTCAGTCCGTCCTCAACATTTGCACCACATCTGGTACAATTAAAGTTACCAGCAACACTTTTGAAACTCTTTGCGGGACATTCTGTAAAAGCATGGCGATAAAGAACAAAAATTATCACCATAACACTCCTATGAATTTGATGAAGGAAAGTTTCAAGAAAATTGATGGATATAAGCCCTAGCCGTCTAAAATAAAAGCCCCATTCCATTGAACTTGAATATGACTATGAATATGGCTGCATTCAAGAATCTAGATTTTCTAAAATAAAAAGGAGTTTTATTACAATGGGATACTTATTGATCGTTGCGCTGGATTTAAATATAAGGGAAGATGACCAAAATATTAGTTTAACATCTTTGACTCTCTAAACTTTGTTGTAAAGAACAGAGAACGGTGGTTAAGTTTGTGTTAGAATGTATCATAGATAATGCAGTTGCAAGATCCCGAGAAGCTAGTTTAAAAGTTTCCAAAGTTTAAGCTCTTTGTATTGACAACTAATCAACGAGCTAACTTACATCAAAAAGTTAATTCACGCTTTGAAGAGTTAAGAGTGAAGAGTCCAGCTTTTATAACAAATACAATAGGTAAAGAGGTGACAGAATACAAATTCTGGAAACTTTATTCCTTAAATAATTTCGCAATTGTTATCTTTATTGAACTGGAAATTTCTGGTCTACAAATAACTTACAAGATCCTTTATCAATCAACAGAAGATAAAAAATCTTTTATCATAGTGCTCATGAAATCATATTATTTAATAATGGAAACATTTCATTTTCAATTCAACCTAAACCACATTTATAAATCTCACTATTACAAGGTAATTTGCAATTGGATAGCCTGGTTTTACAAGAAAAAACTACAAAAATCGGGTTTATGCGTGGTCATGAAAAGTAAATTAAAAAGGATGTAATTCCGAGTTTATGCATGGTTTATTTTTGTGTAGTACAGATGGCAATGTTGGCAAGTTTGGAGATGAGATACCGTTTTCGTTGTTTATCGATGGAGAGAGAGTCACATATTTTGAAGAATGAATTGCAGGAATTGCCGAAGATGCCAAGAGAGCGCCGTGGAGAATGAGCAAAACGGAGACAATTTTGTGTCTGAAATTGTGGTAATGACTGAGGTTAAGTTAGCAACGGGGGAAGAAACATAGATGGTGAGAAGGATAGTAGAGTTGATAAATAACACAGAAAGAGAAATTGTTTTTGATTTTAAGAAAGTAGATAAACAAAGAATAGAAGAGGAGACGAGGAGAGTCAACAATGTGTTGAAATATATCGAGACCAAAAGTTTATCTGAGACAAACAAATTGTCGAAAGCTGTTAGCATCTATGATCTATGTAGGAAAAAGTTTGGGGATAAAGAACAAAAGAGGGTCAAAAATAAACAATGAATGGTGGAAGAGGAGAATTGGAAATGACATCGTGACACTGTACAAAGACATAGCAGTAATAGAAAGAAAGAAAAGAGGAGAGCTGGGAAAAGAAGGGAAATTCAGTTTCCTGCAGAATAAATATCTGATAGATAGAAAAGGACTAGCAGTTGCTATAGAAGAGCTGTAACAGAGTGTAGCAGCAAAGAAAACAAAACTTAATAGGTATGATCAAAGGATAAAGCAGTACAGACAAAAATCGATTATTCTATACAGATCAGAAGCGATTTTACCAGGAAATAAATGGAGAGGCAAGGAAAGAAAAGATTCTACCTAATGCGGAAGAAGGTAGAGAGTTCTGGGGAGGAATTTGGGATGATGCAAAAGAGCATAATAAACAAGCAGAATGGTTACAATAAATCAAGGAAACTGGGACAGACCCAGTACAACAGGACATGCATATTTCTAAGGTTGAAGTAAAAGACCAATGCAAAAAGATGCCAAATTAGACAGCTCCTGGACCTGATGGAGTGCAGGGATTCTGGGTGAAAAGCCAACAGCGTGCCATCAAAGAATAGCAAAACAGATGGATTAAATCTTGAATGGAGAGGAAGAACTGCCTGAATGGATGAAGGCAGAACAATGCTATGTCAGAAAGATCCCTCAGAGGGAAACGCCGTAGACAACTTTAGACCTATATCATGTTTACCGTTATTGTGGAAGCTCATGACTGGGATAATCGCAGAAAGCATGTATGCATTCTTAGAGAGCAACAACATTTTACCTAATGAACACAAAGGCTGCAAACGTGAAAGAAGATGAACTAAAGATCAGTTATTAATAGACAAAATGGTCCTGAAAGATTGAAAGAGAAGACACACCAATTTCGCTATGGCCTGAATCGATTATAGAAAGGCATACGACATGGTGCCACACTCATGAATCATCGAGTGCTTAGAACTATTTGGTGTCACCAGGAAAGCGGAACAGTTTATTCGTCGAAGTATGCCTCACTTGAAAACTGAATTAACATCTTGTGGAGAAAGGTTATGTCATGTTCACATTAGAAGAGGGATCTTCCAGGGTGATAGTTTGTCCCCTTTGCTGTTTGTGCTTTGTCTTATACCGTTAAGCCTG